TCGGTCCACTTGGAGAATGCTCTGCATTTGTTGGGGTTGGCTTCAATTCCCTGTTCGGTTAGATAGAAACCGAGGAATTTTCCCGCCTTGACCCTGAAGGTGCATTTCTCTGGGTTAAACCTCATCTTGCATCGCCTTGCTTGGTCGAAAACTATTTTAAGGTTGGAAGCATGGTCGATTTCCACTCGAGACTTGATGATCATGTCATCCATGTATACCTCGAGCATGTCCCCGATCTCACTGCATAAGACTTTGCTCATCATCCGCTGGTATGTTTCCCCTGTGTTTTTTAGGCTGAATGGCATTACGTTGTAGTAGTAATTTCCCGACTCGGTCATGAAGGAAGTGCAATATTTGTCACTCATCACCATGGGGATTTGATTATAGCCTGAGTAAGAGTCCATAAATGATAAAATTTTGTAGTCGGCCGAGTTGTCATCCAGCATGTCAATGTTAGGTAAAGGAAATGCATCTTTGGGACATGCCTGATTGAGATTAGTGTAGTCAACATACATACGTCATTTTCCATTTTTTTTAACAAGTACAACGTTGGAGAGCCAGGTCAAATATTAGGCCTCAGAAATAAAATTCGCCTCTAGGAGGTCTTTTATAGCTTTTTCAGCAGCCTCCTCTTTTTTGAGAGATTGCCTACGTCTATGTTGTACTACTGCCCTAGCGGCTGGATCCACAGCAAGTTGGTGACAGGTGACCTCAAGGCCGAGTCTAGGCATCTCCCTAGCGCTCCACGCGAACAGATCAGCATTTTCCCTCAGGCGGACTTTGAGCTACTTCCTTGCCAGGTCGGGGAGTCTACCAATCTTCACGCCTTTTTTAGGTCTTCGCCGAGGGGGTGAACTCGAAGTCTCCGTCTGGGATGGGTCGGAGAGGATCATGTTCGCCATTGGGGGCCTCGACTTCATCTTTAGCAAAATGGGTGTCGAGGTCAGTGGAGTCGACCTTTGGTGGAGCTTGTTGTTCTTCAACTCGAGCAGGTTTGTCCCCCGAGGTAGCCGCTATTGCCGAGGAAAATGTTCTGTTGGCCGCTCATACCCCAGTGTCGACCATGTTTTGTCCTTTGGAGGCTGCATTGAAACATCTCTAGGAAATTGTGATGTCTCCATGGATGGTGACGACGCGAACCCTCTTAATGTAGAACTTAATCTTCAAATGTACCATGGAGGGTACGACGGTCGGCTCGGCCAGTGTTGGTCTCCTCAGGATGCAGTTATAGAGAGAGGGGCAATTGATCACCAGAAAACACACTTTGACTTATTGGGATGTGATGTCTTCCCCGAACTTGACGAATAGCTCGACATAACCCCATGGCTTTGAGGTCAAACCATTGAATCCTTGCAGGTCAGACCCCATGTATGGTGACAGGTGGGCATTGTCGATTTGCAGAGTGCAGAACAGGTAGGTGTATATGACGTCGAAGGAACTCCCTTTGTCGACCAGGGTGTGATGTACATCAAAGTTGGCCATCTTCGCCCTCACCAACAGAGGGATGTTGGAGTTAGGGGCCCCCTTGGGTAACTCCTCGAGATTAAAGGTGATTGGCTCAAATTTTTCCTTGAACCTTTCAAGGGTTACAACCTAGATCGGGGTTGCATCTATTAGCTCGTTGAATTTTCTCTTTGCTAAATTCACCGAGACATCACTGAACCCCTCGCCGGATATGACCATGGCGGAGGAGAATTTCTCCCATCTGCTATGGGTGAACAAGGGCTCGTCATCTTCCAGGCCATCGGGGATGCGGAATTCCTTGGGCCTGGAGACGCAGAAGGCTACCTGGAGGGGAGCAGACTCATGGGATGGTCGGGCATCCTCTTCAATTTCTTTAACTCTTTGGGTCTCCCGGTGAGGGACGTCGTTCCTTTTGTACTGCCCGAGTCTCCCTGCCTTTATGAGAGTCTCGATGGCATTCTTAAGGTGGACGGAGTCTTCGGTCAAGTGATTGTGGCTCCGGTGGTATTAATAATACTTTGTCATGTCGACCCCAGGCTTAGCAAGGGTTGGTTGAGGGCATCTGAATCCGCCGTCCTTGAACTCAGCATTAGAGTATTCTGCAAGGATACGCTTGCGGGAAGCGGTCAACAGGGTGTATTCGATGAATCTCCCAGCTGGTCCTTTGTGCTCGCGGGAGTCGCGAGGCTTCTCCTCCCTTCTCTTACCCCATGTTCGTCAAGAAGGGCCCGCATCATTATACGGCAGGATGTGATTTGGTTCCTGGTTCCTCGAGTCTCGAGCATTATTGGCAGCCTTTTTTCCTCGTATTCCATGTAGGTCCAGGCTTTTTTGACGAGTGTGTCAAAAGACCTGGGAGGCTCGATGTCGTCAGCCTTTCTGAACTTAGTGCCCGGTAGAAGCCCCCTCTCGAGCAAGTATCTCTTCATGTAATATGCGCAGGGGACCTGAATGGCCTCGTGGTTCAACCGATCGATGTACTCTCTGAGGATCTCGTCGCTCCTCTGGATGATTGCCTCGAGGGTGGCCTCAGTTTTTGGGTGTCGACGAGATATTATGAAGCTGCTGATGAATCGGTTCTTCAGACTCCTCCACGAGGTAATAAACCAGGGGGAGGCTCTTATACCATTCCATGGTTGTTTTTCTCAACATCGTGGGGAACATCCTGCATTTAATAGGGACCTTGATGTTGTGATAGTGTAGCATCGCTTTAAAGTGGTCGATATGGTCAACGGAGTCAGCAATATTGTCGTACTCCTTTAGATAGGGAGGCTTCTCCATCCCTTTAGGAATATGGGCCTCCATGATAGCTTGGGATTGTGGACCGCGGGGGTCGTCTTCGTCGCTTCTTTCTGGGGAGCGAGAAGGGAACTGATCATAGCGACAGTCTTTGTGTCGATCTTGGACACGAGGGAGATTCCTTGGTCGAGACTTCTTTTCTTTGTTGCCCATGTTCCTTTTACGGTCAGGAGATCGTCGCTCTTTGTGTGGGGGGTGTGACCTCACTTTTTGACAACTTCGAGTTGGGTCATCTCCAATGCAAGACCTCACCCGGTTCGACGGGGAGAAAGGTTTCGAGAATCGTCATGTATGTGTCTCTGCGAGGGAGATCGGGAGCGATCCTCATGTCGTCAGGGAGGAGTTCAAGAATCAGGTCTTCGGTGTTTTCTGGGGGAACAGTGGGTTTGTTCCAGAATCATCAAGCGTTTTCCCTGCGAAAAGATCATGTAATTTATTTGGTTGATCGTCGCGAACAAGACCCTGGTCGTGGGATCAGCATTCTCAGGAACGGGGATCTTCTGATACACAACAGACTTGTAATTCTATTGAAGTTGGTTGGTATCGTTGCGTGGTTGCGAACGGGTGGAAGAGGACGCAGTCATCCCGTCCCTGAAGTCGTGCTCAACAACGTTATTGTTACCAGCGTTAGTGTTATTGTTGCCAGCGTTAGTGTTGTTGCCAGCATCGCCGAAGGGAACGTTTTGGTCACTGTTGTTAGCTTGATCGGCCATGATGATCGGAGAATTGAGAAAGAATTGCTTTTGTCTTAAGTAAATGAAAGATGCAAAAGCTGGGTTCCCACAGACGGCACCACTAATCGTATCGGATGAGAAGGGATCGTCAAGGCTCATGAGCTTCAAGTTGAGTTGCGGTTGAATGTGAAGTGAAGGGTACCTGTAATACACTTCGATGCCAAAGTAAGATTCAAAACAAGAGCAGGCAAAGTGAGTATGGATGAGTGATTGAATACCTGACTCTCTCAAGTGAGAGGATTTTTATAGCCCCGGCGTTGGGCCAAGATCTTCAGTATTGGACTACGATGAGACCCAATAACAAAGACTGTCACGGTTTACAAGATGATGGCGTTATGGACATGTGAGTCATGTTCTTCTAGTGGGCACATGGGAAAATGTCCAACGATCTTTAGTTTGGACTGTATGCTTTTGGACCTTTATAAAGGCGTTGGATGAGCCTCCCCAACGGTAGAGCAAGTGTCAGTCCAATCTAAAACAACAACCATTCCACATTGGTCTTTTCGTGTAGCCAATGTAACATATATCCATCAGCTTGGCATCAAAACTGCATTTTTAAATGGTGATCTTAAAGAGGGAGTGGTATGTATGAAGCAAACCATGTGGTTTCATTGTTTAGGGAAAGTCATTTATCATGGTTTATCTTCTATGCAAACCTCCATCCAGTCTTAATCGGACTTCTCAAACTTGGTTTGAAAACAATGATTCGTAGTTAAACCGATTATTCTATTTTTTTTAATCACTCAAGTTAAAGATGTGTTTATCTTATTGTTTATGCATATGATATTATCATAGATTGTAATAATAAGTAAGAAACACTCTAGTTTAAACATGTTTCTAATTTTTTAGACAAAATACCATGATAAACTTAATTACTGAGGCAACTCAATCTCAAGATGATATGGATATTCTTAAAGAAACATGTCTATTGAATGTCAAGCCATTGTTATTCCTATATATCCAAATGTCAGACTTCTATCAAATCAGATAGAGCCTTTATCTAATTCAAAAAGATATAATAGATTGATTGGCTACATTCTGAAGAAGCAATATCACTGTCAATGATAGTCACGCAACATCGTCACAAGCTTTCTCTCTTCTCACTGTTCTTTCAACCAGCCACACCCTAACTACACACTCTACTACTACAGAGAACTAGCAAACTCGAATACTCGATGGCCTATACTACCAGAATGAAAGGAAGCAGAGACAACCACGTTAATCCTACAATGTTGCAACCTAAACTTATTACCTTTTACACAAAGATTAAAGAGTACATACAACAAAACAAGACTTTGAAACATGTCAGATAGAATTCCAACACAAAATGAATCAATGAAAAAATGACGTACTAGAGGTTTTGGTTTAAACTGCTCCAAATATCTGTCCTAGAAATAACAAAAAACAAAAACTACATTTTTCAAATAAACTTTTCCCTAGTGGCAGATATTGAACATTCTTTAGTATCTGTTGTAGGAGAGCTACAATCACAATTTTTCATCTTCACTTGCAAGCCAAAACACAATTTTGAAACATTGACTGCACCTCCTCCTCTTTCAGAAGAAGATACAGAAATAGGAGAAAGAATATTAGCGTCGAAAAGGAGGTGGTGAACCGCGAAACAAAAAGGAAAAAAATAGTTCTTTTTCTCCTACCCCAGAATTGGGAAACAGCCACTTCTGGATCTTGTCTAAAAGCTCTGAAGGGCACCTGTAGTGTGTGAGTGAGAGTTAATGTAGTAGCCTCCAACTTAGTGGTTGGTAGGAATGGAAAAGAAGCCGTTTCCACAAGCAAAACGCGCATGTATGTAATCTTCGATCTTCTCTCTCCCTCTCTCTTTATGCATAGTACATGTACAAGCTATTTGCTGCAGCACAGGCAATTGAGTTTTCAGATGGATGCCACGCTAAGTGCAACAGCTTGGTCGTGAAATCAAACGAATTCCCGTTTGCATCAACCCCGGGGTTTTCTGCTCCTGTACAAGAAATACGAACTTGTGTGATCATCTATAGTAAGAAACAAAAAAAAATGATGTGATGTGATATGAGCAAATGAAAGAAAACTGACCCCGTCTTACAACTCGTGTTAGACTATTTCCGAGTGATCTAGACGGCCTTGAAGGGGTTGGAACTTGTCGTCTGATCAAACACGCAAAGTTAATTTAGATGCCACAATGTTAACTGAAGTCTGAAAGTGAACTATATTCTTGAAGTTGGAGCTCCGATAAACTTACCTCATTGGATTTTTACTGGCTTCCAAAGTTGTAGCCTCGGTACTTCCAGGAGAACAGCCGAATACTCGGAATAAATTGCTGGCAACACAAATGAAACAATAGTAACATGCAGGGTGATAAACAATTCCAGAGACAATTGAACCATGGATTAAGTTTGTATCACAGACCTGTAAGAACCAGTGGCTACCCGCAGTCCATCACCGCTCAGACAGCACTCGAACTTATCAAAAATCGAATCGTTTTCATATAAATCACAAAGCTGGCAAGTCCAAACCAAAACATAGTTAGTTATAACACAATAAAGCTGCAGAAATAAATTTACAGATAATCGTCTCTTATCCAACCACAGGAACCTAACCTTAGGTCTTAGATACTCATGAACCTGGTAAGTAGCAACAGGACCTGAATCCATATTAATGTCCCATAACTGACAAACAAGTCAAGAAGAGTAAAAATGAAATGAAATGCAAAGGAACAAAAAAGCTAAATCAATATTCATAATTAAAATAGCTTATGGAAAAATATAACGGTGTTAATCTTTTTAGCAAAAATTGACTAATGGGATGCTGTTTGAAAGTTGAATGACTTTGATTGACAAAAATAAGGGGTCTATTTCTGAAGTCCAAATACTGTGAAAACTTTAACAGAAGCGTTAATTTATAAAGTGTAAAACTTCAAACCTTTAAAGTCATGTAATCACGACTGAGTATGTATCTTCCATCCTTCCCAAACTTTATGTCAGATATAGAAGCAATGATCTCGGTGAAAAATGATCTGGATCCTGGAGCCTCCTGTTCCTCGAACCTGCATTGAAGGGCATTGCCTATTAGAGTCTAGAAAGAATATGAAAGTGCATAAATGCATACAAGAATCTTTTTTTAACATAAGCAACATTTTAATGATCTGCATCAAAGTCATATTTCCAGTACTAACGTAAGCTGTAAGGGAGGAGCAGGATACTTATTTATTTGTTAGGAATCAACAAGATTAACACGGAAGAACATATATAGAACGAAAGAAGAAGTGCTTACAGTTTGGCATGAGAATCACATAATGCTGATTGCCGCAAGTCAATTAGACGGATTGACCCCTTTGAACTGCTATATGCCAATGTATTACAATGTGTAGGGTGGAATTCTGCTGATGTTATAACCTCTACAATAACAATATATAGGGTCATGGCTCAGCCAAGACTATATAAAACAAGAACAAGTGGGCAACAAATGAAAACAGATGATTCTTTCTTCACTTTGCGCTAAGACCCGAGAAAGCCCGCAGCACTTAATAGATCAACAATACAGCCTTAAAACTCCATCCTGTTGTTTGCAAATCCTATTCTTGGAGTAGCACACGTGGTTATCAAACGTGCGAGCTAGATCTTGAGATCGTAAGATCTCGCGTGTTATTAGCATACATTCGCAATGAAACACGCTCGGTCAAAAAGTATATTGCGTGTGATAGTTAAGCATACCACACAATAATCATCTACCTTGTTGGGATGTTAACGGCTAAATAATTAAAAGACAGAGTGAAGTTCTTTCAATTACCATAGGGTGACAAATTTCTACTGATACTGAAAAATTGGGTATCGTAGTCTAGGAAAAAAAAATCATGAACATATAACATTGGCCTTTATTGGTTCTACGCGAATCTTAATGCAGTACCAACCAAGTATTTTTTTTGGATCATCAGGCTATCAGTTTAGGTTGGGTTGGCATATCAGATGGTCAGGGTCGGCATTGAGCACTCACTTTTCAGTCAACGACAACTTGTAACAACTATAATAATATGAACTAAATAGTTAGTGTTCTACCAACAGAGATATGTTTATACCACAGATTTAAAAATATTATCAAGCTTACCTGTCAGATCTTCCATGTTTGCAGGTTTTACATCAACAATATTAAAACTTTGACTGCTTATTTCCAGATTCCAAAGATTTATTCGCAAATCATCAGCTGATATGAAAGTTTCGCCATCGCTAAAAGGTTTGAGTAACATAACACCATTAGAATTCTATCAGTAACTATAAAACAATCTAAGAAAGTAAAAAATAAGGTACAAAAACGCATATAGTCATCAAGTAATACTCAGAAAACAACTATGTATCCATTTTAGGAGCACCACCGCAGTAAGGGAAATAAAATTACCAAAGCAAGATTCACCTTAAATAGCCTAAAAATTAGAATATGAATATTCGGCGCACTCAATTTCAACCAAAACTTACTAGACAATAGCAAAATACAACGTGGACCAAGAAAGCTAAATACCTGTTATTTGAAATAGAATTGATATGATAATCGTGTGCATGGGCATAAACTCTACGACATCGAGCCACCAAGCTTGTTTCATGACTACTTACCTGCATATTTTACAAAATGAGTTAGTACTGCCAAAATCCTAAACATGCATTTTTTATAGTTTAGAAATGAAAGTACTTGAACCACTTTATATAGTTTCTTCTCTTCTAAAGCACCAGGATCAGACTCTAATATTTATCTTTTTACTGAAAGGAGTGGAATAATCAAAATATGAAATCAAACTCTAATATTTATTTCTTTACTTCATATTCTACTTTCTTTTTCCTTGTGAACTAGTATCAGAAAAAATAATTACAGGTGGAAGGGATGAATACAACTACCACAGGTAATCTTAGTGACGGTATGCCTCCCGGTGGAAATGAGAAGTCAGAGCTAAGATAATTGAATGATCTATCTGAATCAGGATATCTTCCATTCTCAAGGCTTGGCTTAGGATTAATTACATTACTTGAACTAGCAATACTGCCATTTCCCATTGTTTTTGAAGGGTCGACATTCATCTCAGCAATTTTCTTGACCTTCTTTTCTTGAACCTGTTCAACCCTCAGATAAGGAAAGATAAGAAAAAGTGATCTAGAAGACTGATAGATGATATTTATTCATATGAAAAAGATACAAAGAAGAATGCAGTCATATTCATTTTTTATAGATGTATAAGCAAACATTCAATATGCTAACTATGTAACATTTATTCAAGATTATTTTCCCCACGGTATGATTTTATAGCATGGCCTTTCATATATGTTTCTCCCTATATCTTAATGCACTTAACTATTAAGATGCCACATAACATGATAAATGTTTAGAAGTTAAAGGAAAATAGCAACAAATTTGTCGGCTAATATCCTTGAAGAAAGTTTTCAATGTTCAGAAAGGAAGTCGTCATATTACACACTTGAAAACAAATGTCGGAGCATGTGAAACCCGGGATCAAGCCTAATTCCACAAAAGTGCAACCTCGTGAACAATGCATTGATAAGAGACAGCACTAAGCATGCTACAGATCGGCATTTATTTCATACCTTCCAAAATTTGATGGTTTTATCATTTGTCGAGAGAAGGAAAAGGGCACCATTAGCTATTTGGCACCATCTGATTTTGTTGATTTTCTCTTCTATCTCCAAACTCTTAAGGTAGTCAAACTGAAACAATTATCACACATTATATATGTTGGATATTCTAAGACATAAATGATGTTGGGGGAACGTTGCCGGCAAAATGATGATTACCTCGGGCTCATGACTCTGAAACTCTGTTTTGTAACGGAATTCAGGATGTCTGCTGATCGAATAATCCATCCTTTCTGAATCCCTTCTAGATTCGCCATGCTGCACGTTTCAGCATACATATAAACAAACATACATAATACAATACTATTGGCAAAACATGAAATCTGACAAAATATAAGTTTAGTTTCTTTCTACTAAAACAAAGCTTGCCTAAGCAAAAATCCGGCTTACATCTTTTGTATCTGTCCTCTCAAAGAGAACCACTCGGCCACCACGATCACCAGTAGCAAGATGATCGCCAGACTTGTCAAATTCGATAGCAGAAATTATGTCCACTGTAGAAAAACATTTGGGTAAATAATTAGGAAAGTTTCACATTATCCTGCAACAAAACTATTTCAGATTTGTCAATGACTCTATTGCATCTATCACATCATCGACCCGTCAATCTCACTTCAACCACCTCTTCTTGAAAATGCACCTAGTCCTATATTGTAAACAGTACCTTCATATAGCACACAGCATATCAGTCAATCACTTAATCTATTAATGTTTCAACTTTTTCTTCCTTTTTTGATAACCATGTTTTAGGTACAAAGTATTATTCGCGGCTATTTGGTAGTAACTAATCTCCGTCAAGAAACTTGGTGGCCACACTCCTCTTCCAAACCAGGTTTTTCTTCATACTCCAGAGTCATCGAACCTCTGGCCACTAGATTAAGGTGCTTGAGTCCCTTACCGCTAGGACCAACCAACCACATGTTGATTTGTTTTAACCGAAAAAGTGATTTTTTTTTTCTTTTTTGGCACAGAGAATTGCCACACACACTCTATAACTACCAGCTAGATATTTTTCATTCCAGCCTAGCAAACTCTCCCAAAACCGTCTGCTTTTGCATTGTCAAAGGCAGGCAGAGACAACAACAGACCCAACACTCAAACTTCAACACTACTCATCAAATCAAACTACACAACACAACATTAAGATCCAACATATCACACTCAAACAAACTTACACATTGGTTAACAAATCAAAGAAGTATCCGCAACACAATTAAAAGCTAGAAACAAACATCAAACCCCAAAACACCAACCAAGTCACAACAACAACTCAGTTTCACAGTCTAAAAACCAATCTAGTAAATTCAAAATGCAAAAACAAAACAAACACTCGGTCAAACAAACCCACTACTTTCCCCCAAACCAAAACCAAACACCGATAATAGCAATGAACAAAAATCCAAAACAAACATTACTCAACAAAACAACATACTCCCAACAAAACACGATCCATAACCGTAACAGATCAAATCAAACCCTAATCCCAAAACACAAATTGGATCCAAAACAAACCCACAAAAACACCCCTTTCCCCAACCCACCAACACCAACAAATTACCTTCCTGAACCTCTTCACCCGCCGTACGCTCACCAAACACCTGAGAGAATTTCCACTCCAAAGGCGACGGTGGACCCGCCGGAGCTGCGACAACATCATCGCCACCGTTCATTTTCAAACCAAATCAACGGTCACCGAATACACGAGTAAATCTACCAATCCTATAACTGCATCAAAGATTAATTTATGGGTTTTCACAAGATCATAGGCTCAGACAGACTCGTCGAAGAAAGACATAAAATTTCTTTTTTCTTCTCTTTGTGTTCCCAGTTGAACATTGGAGCACAAAAAAGAACAAAAAAATTTCTCTCTCCTACAATTTTCTCAAATCTATTGTAATACTTTCTCTCTCTAGAAGGGTAAATTTGGAATTTCACTAAACTTTGATGTTGGAGATGACAAACAAATAATAAAACAACACACTTCTGTCTTGAGTTCTCTCCGCTTAACAATTGGTCTCTGTCTGGTTTTTTTTATTTATTTTAATTTAATGGATAGATATTAGTAAAATATACGAGATTAAACTACACTTTTATTATTTTTAATTTTATCTTATTCACGAAATTAAATTTCTATATTTTTAATTTTTGTCATATTTTTTTTTATAAAAAATTAATATAATATTTATTTTTTAATTTATATTTTTATATGTGAAATAGCACAATAGATTTGTTTATATAATATGATTTATTATGTTTCATAAAATTTATTTATTTAAAAATAAAAATATCTTTAATTTTAAGTAAAAAAATATCAAAACTGTTTTAACTTAAAATAAATTAATTAATTTCGTAAATCGAGTAAACTAAAAAGATAAAATATAATGATTTTTATTTATGATATTTTTATTTATTTATTACGTGATTAAGTGAATTGTGATGTTTCATTGAATTGTGATTTTAGATATACGGTGATAAGTTTGTGGTACGTATAGATTAGTGAGACTATTAAGAATAATTTTTAAGATGTTGAAGTTTATTAATTAAAGTATTTGTTCTCATGGGAAAAAAATGGTCTTTGTGGAAAATGATTTGGATGAATGTCTTTGTAATTTACTCTTTTTTTTTATTCTTTAAAGAAGACTAGAATTAAAGAATCATATAGTTAAAATACAATTTAGAAATGATAAAAATGTAGTGTTATATTTTTAACAAAGAATATATATATATATATATATATATATATATATATATATATATATATATATATATATATATATATATATATATATATATATATATATATATATATATATATATATATATATATATATATATATATATATATATATATATATATATATATATATATATATATATATATATATATATATATATATATATATATATTTGCAGTTCAATCATTTATTTTAAGTTGATAGAGAATTATATTATAGTTTTTAAAAGTTATTGTAACTAACTTATAATTGGTTTCTAACAAAAGATTATTTCATTCACTAAGATGTGCAATTTGAATTAATTTCTTTGTTCCAATGAGCTCAATAGAGAAGATAAGAATACGATTGATTCCGATTTTTTAAAGGTTTGGAGTAAATAATAAAAATGGACTCTTAATAAAAAATATAATTGTTGTTTTTTTTTTTAAACATCATCTATTTAAATTATAAATAGCATCAACAACATTAAATATAGTTATTTATAAGTATAACTAACATTAAAAAGAGGTCATATTCTGTTTGAGAGAGATGATACAGTATTGAAGAAGATGAAAATATTTTTATTATGTTACTTTTATTTTGTTGGATTATTATTGATTGGGCCTATTATTTATATTGTTTTAACTTGGCTATATAAATACCAATATTTTTTTTAGGCCCTTGTATTTTGGAAGCCCTAGACAGTGGTCCAGTTTGCGTTGTCTCAGGGTTGGACCTGTGCAAGAGTGATATCAATATTCTCAGCAAAGTAACCTAAGGAAGTTTCGTCAAAATTTATGAAAATATTATAGCAAGAAACTTGTCCACGAGCCCCTAAAGTTTTGTCCTTTGTGTTGCACTTCAGTCAATTAATAATGAGAGGTTGCGAAATGACTTCTTTTATGATTGTATTTTTTTAGAGTGAAGACCAATTTTAATCCCTCATAAAAATTGTAGATTCCACATTAATCCTTAAGAAAATAAATTCATATTTAATTCCTTACAAAATTAACTGAGTCATGTTAGTCCCTGTGTTAACATTTTTTTCAAATTAGTTTTTTTCCTACTTTTGAATTGTGACTTGATTGTAATATTTTGGCTTTCTTAATCATGGTTTCATCAGTTTCATTGATCATGATCCCCCAATTAAAGTTCTCCTTTTATGAATTGACCTTGCTGAAATGTTAATCATCATCACCATCAACATTCCCCTCAGTATCAACCTTCCATTTACCGTTTTCCACCGCCAACGTCCTATTTTGCATCTCTCTCATGTTGGAACCCTAGACGATAACTTTTTCACCGGTGATAATGATGACATTTGTCTCTCTTCGGCTCAAATTCTAAAGCTCATGTTAACGGTACGTAGCATTGTTGCTTTCAAACCATTCGCTCTTGATTTTGGATTCTCGGATCTCATTACTAATAATGGGATTAGGGATTTGGAGTTAAGGGGTGAGGATTCTTTAATTGGCGTTGAAAAAGAGGATGATGATGATGATGATGATAAAGACGAAAAGAAGAAGGAGAAGAGCGATTTGGGGAACAAGAAACAAGAAATGGTTACAAATGTTGATTTGCAAATGTTTATAAAGGGATTGGAGATAAATCATCATGATACCATGATGTTTTTTGCTTTACTGGGTTTATTATCAGGCTTATGGGTGGGTGATTATGGTTTTTCTTGTTACGTATTCTTGTGTATTAGGTGTTGTTATTGTTTTAGTTGTTAATGATTTTTTAGTAAGGTTTAGTTTTGCTACTATGGTGGTTTGAGATGGCTTCTTACTTTTCTAAATAATACATGTTGCATAAATAATATATATGGCAATTTAGTCATGATTCAAAAGTAAGAAAAAACCAATTTGAGAAAAATATTGATAGAGGGACTGTGATCGGTGGGAATAGAACTGACTGTTTTTGGAATGCTGGTTCGCGTTTGCGTTTCGCAAAATGTCGCGGTAAGCAAGAGTCGCCACCGTCTTTTATTTTATCCAACAAGGAAAGGACAAAAGCATAGAAAAATTCTCTTTTGAGATGTCTCTCGGGTTCGGGAGGTAGATTATAGAAAGGGAAGGTGTTAGCACCCTTTCTATCCGTGGTTATCCACGGGCTCTTAGGTACTTGCTCAAAGTGTTTTCAAAAGTTGGCTTTTCTTTGTGTTTGTGGGTTTTGAAAAGAGTTTTCGTTTAAAAGAAGTGTAAGTGCGAAAAGTTTTGTTTTCGTTTCAAAAGAGCAAGTACTTAAGAACCTCTACCTACTCAAAAGGGAATTAAACTGTGCAAATGTCCTTTAGACAATGTTATCCCACTATTGAGGAGTAGGTAGCACCGTCGTTGGAGTTTTCGGGTCAATTCGATTTTAGGGATGTGTGGTCACTAAAGCAACGTTAGGACGCCTTAGTGGTAACCCTAATGTCTTAGATCATTTTTATCCGAGGCAACCGTTTCGAGGAAACTTTGATCTTTGGACAGGAGGACGACCTCTAAAACATCCTATACTTAATGACCACGTTCGAGGCAACCAAGTGCGGCGTATCCTAGGAGTGGCATGTGCAAGTGTGTTAATTTTTAGTTATATTATTTTTGCATGTCATGGTGAGCTACTGTTGATTTTAAGTTAAGAATTAATCTTGTCATGCATAGCCTAGTTAGCATACATCTAGCAATTAATGGTTGCGGAAAATAAATTGCGGAAAATAAAACTAAGCTATTACAAGGCGTCGGGTATTTACATCGCCAAAAACAAACCCTTGAAAAGTAAATTGCGGGAAAATAAATAAAAGCGGTAAATAAAGGTCCTAAGTTAAAGCTATTACATCCTCGAAGCAATTACAATATATGGATCAAAATAATACGCGCGAGAAAAGTTGAATCAGATTGTCCTTTAGGGTTTTGACCCTTTTTATTTAAAGAAAGCATATTTTTGGTCTTTTTTGAATTAAGGATTAACTCTAAATTAATAATGGAATTAAAAAAGAAAATATTTTTTTGAGTTTTATTTTAATTAAGGCAGCAAAAATCAGAAATAATAAAAAAACCTAAGTCTAAGTTAATTTTAATTTATTGTAAAAATGTTAAGATTAAACCTAATTAAAAAAAAAACTAAATTAATTGGTTAATGGTTTATTTACAAAAATAAGTGATAAAATTAAAATAAAAATATTTTTGTTGTTTCTGATTTTTTATGAAAAAGAGTTAATTAGTTAATTAATTAATTATGATAATAAAGTAAAAACAGTGAAAGGAAAAATAAAGAAACAAACTCAGGGGTGCTGGGCTCGTAAAGGGAGTATGAATTGCAATTTCCAGGCCCAAACGTCCAGCCTGTTGGATTTTCAGATTGCCTGGGCGTTTGTTGATCAAGGTTCATGGTGAACCTCATTCAGGACCACCGGATCGAAATCTGGAACCACCTGGCGCATGAGATCTGAGGACGTATGGTAGCCCACGCTTGGGATGTTGCGCCTGAATACCTGAAGGAAAAACACAACAAAGTTTTGGTGGACCTGGGATTCGAACCCAGGTCCCAGGAGACAATTCGACCAGCGTGCTACCAACTGAGCCATAATGTTAACCTGTTAGTGGAATAGAAGCTAAAGACTATATAGAAACAATTTAATTATGCCTGGCAAAAAAAAAACGCGCAATTGATTCAAATGAACCAATCACGCTCCACCACATAATCGTCTTCTTCACAAGACCTGGTTCGGTTACCTGCGGATTTTTATCCGCATGAAGTTTCGTGGGATGGTTCTAAAATGCTCCCTAGGTCACAAAAACAGAATCCAAGAGTACCATTGTACTCGCCTCACTCCCCTGAACTCATCCATGGCCATTGTTGGCCTTGATTTAACCTGCACGCAAAACGCCTAAAAACACACACAAGAACCCTATGTTCTGGACATGGGGTTAGAGGTCACGAAAATACAATCAAATAATGCAGTTTGCTTAGGAATTTAATGATTAATACAAATATGCAAGAAATTTGTCACAAAGATGCATAAAAACTGAATTATGATTCCATGTGCAGCGTAAGGTTCATGGGGGCTTACAGTGCGTTATAGGCAGTGAAAGGCTTGGTTTTTGATTGGTCTCGCTTCAGGAGGTTGCTGGCAAGAGAGCTGCGTCTTTCTTTTGGTCTGAATCTGCCTCCAATGTGGTTTTTGATCTCCACTTTCTCAAGGTTTTTTGCAAAACTGTTCTGGCCGTTTTCACAGAGTTTTTGTGCGTTTTCTTCTTTGTCTGCAGAGTTTCACGTGTGTCTTTTTGTTCATGAGCAGCAGGTTTATATAGACAAGGAAATTAGGTCAACATTTGTGTATCAAATCTTGGTCCATTATGATGAAGAGATTTGATTTGATTTTTTCATAAAGACTTGCTATATTTGATTCAATCAGGTTCCAATCTATCTTCATGTGTTTCTGCCAGCTTGCTCTGAGTTGTTTTGGGCCTCCAACTTGATGGAAATCAAAAGCTGACTTGCCCCTTCGAATTTTGAATCAGGATGATTTTTCTGCGACTTGAATTCATATCCTATAAAACAACCAAGAGGTAAATCCAATTGGTCCTTGAAATGATTAGTATGTATGAATGTCATGATGCTTATGATGTCATGATTATGCTAAAAATCACAGATAAACACAATAAAATCGTACAATAGACCTTAGGTTCAAAGGCTTGCATGAGTTTTCAAGGTATGTACCCTCTTGAATGTTCAATTGGCTCAACCTGTCCTATTAATAGTAACCGGGTTCTAAGGAGCCTCAATATCACTGACCTTCCCTTCAGAAATTGTTTCAGCTCCGCACCGAAGTATTGCGGCCAAAAAATCCTGAAAGTCCAGCCTCAATAAGTGTAGTATCGAGTATCAACCAATCTTCGGTCGGAACCAAAGCCGGTTATCTCACTACTTCCTAATGGCTAGGATGAGTCAATTAAAGTTCTAAAGGTCAGTTAGCGCTTAGTGACACTATGAGGAAGCCTAATGTTATCCTTAACTTACTCAAGGAACATTAGTACAATCCAAAGCATCGCACTAATGTAGCCACCACTTTTTCCGTACCGATCTACGCCATACATCTTCCATGGTTTATTGCTACTTACCTAATAAGGTTCCCCAGATCCGGGTATAGGATCTTTACAAGAATACCCCAACAAAACCCTCAAAGATAAAAGCAGTCAAAGCAAAACCAAGAAATCAATTTAAAATGATCTAGATCCTAAGGTAAACCCCACTTTATATTTTTTCCCAGCAGAGTCGTCAGTTCTATGATACGGTGGCAGAACCGACTGTTAATACTGGTTTACATTTTTTTTTTGCAAATGTCGCGGTAAGTAAGAGTCGCCATCGACTTTTCTTTTATCCAACAAAGGAAAGGGTGAAAAGAACAGAAAAAGACCTTTTGAGAGTTTTCTGAGTAAGGGGGGTAGATAATGGAAAGGGAAGGTGTTAGCACCCTTTCCATCCATGGTTTTCCATGGGCTCTTAGGTACTTGCTCATTTTTGAAATTGCTTGTGTTTGTGTGTTTTGAAAAGCTTTGAAAATGCCTTAGTGCGGCGATTCACTTTATGGTAACTCTTGTACCGGTCCTCAAGAGTGTGATAAAGTATTTTGAAAACTTTTGTTTGAAAGGTATGTTTGAAAGTGTGGTGTGAAAATTTATTTTGAGCAAGTCCCTAACACCTATCTACCTACTCGAAAAAAGAAAAGACTGTTCTTCTCCTTCCCTTCCTTTAGACCGTGTTATCCTACTATTAGTGAGTAGGTAACCCTAGTCGTTGAATGTTTTGAGGGACTATCAAAAGGGACGTACGGTCACTAAGGCAACTGGGCAAGAACTATTAGTAACTGTCCTAAAGCCTTAAGATCACTTTTAAACCGAGGCAACGGTCGAGAGGGTCATCGAGGGACTAGTGATCTCTTTAGACTTGAGGACAGCCACTAACAATTCTCACGATTCGAGAATTGTAACTGTTATTTTCCGAGGCAATCAAGTGAGGTATACCCTAAGGGTGCAAGTGTGCGACAGTGCCTTTTTCAGATATATTATCTTGAAGTTAGTGGTCTAATGGTTAATTGATTTATCTTGTCATGCACGCCTATTAATCTAAACAATTAATAATAGTGCAAGAATTTAAAAGGCAGAAATTAAAATTTCTAAGTATTACAAGGCTTTGGTGCAATTACATAATTAGTGATCGAAAGGTAAAAATACGGAATTAAAACCCTAACTAAACTATTACGAATTGGGCTCAATTACATCAATAATGAAAAATAAATTGTACGGCAAAAATAATTAAGCGCGAGAATTAAAATTGAAAAGAAAAGTGCAAAACCCTAAAAGATTAATTTGAGATATATTATTTTTGATCTTTTTATAAAAAATGATTTGAAATTGACCTAATTTTATAATTAATTTTAATTAATGAAAATAAGTTAAAATTGATTTAAATAATTAATTTGCAAAAATTAATTTACTAAAAAAAAACTAAGTCTTATTTTTGTGATTTTTGATTTTATAAAAAATGATTTTAAAAAAGGAATTAAATTAATTGCACAAAAATAAAAATATTAAAAACAAAGAAAGAGTGAAGGAATGGGCCTGAGGGGTGTAAACCCAAATCTGGGGGGTGTATGTTGAATTTTCTAGGCCTAGCCAGTGTTAGCCCATTATCCCTGCGTGTGATCTAGTGATGCTCCATCTGGAAGGTCCATGGTGGGGCTGCAAGC